TTGATGTCGATAGAATCAGGGTGCTAATGGTGACTCATTTGAAGTATCGGATCAACGACAAACGTATTTTTTTGAAAGATAACAGTAATCTAGAAAAACACATGAAGGAAGACCGCCGAGCAAAGCGAGCCAATAATGTACGTCCTGTTTTCTTGTGTCCATGATCAACATCATAAGACTAAGATTATGGAGGTATTCGCAGCTCGCAGAGAGATGTCATGAAACTTGTCTGAAGTACGAGGATCTGAATGTTTACCAGGATCTGTTCCTGGATCGCCGGTACTGTTCGTCTGACGAATCTGATGACGAAGTCGTGGAAGAGGATTGGGTGCGAGATATTCCGCTATGGCAGAGCCGACTAGGAACTGCCTTAGTTGAGTACATCGACAACGCTTATCGTCAATTGAGACAAGAAGAAATTCCTAGACGCCCTGGAAGAAAACCAGGGAAACGCAAGACATCTCAAACCGCGCCAGTTGTAGGCTCCTCGAAATGGCCACTAGGTCTTCCTAGTGATTGCTATGATTCCAGATGGGTTGCTAGTCTCAACACTAAAGAACGCAAGGCCCTCAAAATGAAGCCGGCAGCGTTGCAGCAACACCTGAAGCGCACCACTTCGATCCGCTTTCTGGCATGTTTTTTGCAGCGGAACATTCTTCCGCTTCATAGGAGACTCGCTCTTGATCCGCTGCCAAAAAAAGCCCGCTACGTTGCTTGTGTAGCACAGCGGCTATTTGAGCCGCTCTCGCTCCGCTATGTCGAATTTCAAGCGGAGGAAGCGGACCGAGACGACAGTGGTTATTCACATTTTTTTAACATTCCCAAAGCAAGGTGAGTGTATGTACAACTTTCAGTAAAAAGAACTAACCAAACACAGACTAAATAAGATGTCAACAATCAAGTTGAAAATCCAAGATAAGCACAAAAATCAACGAGCGATTGAAGATAATAAAAAAACATGAAAAGATCAGAAGAAAAAAAGATACGAGAGCCCGAGCCACAAATTAACCTAACGTTTGACAGAGGATGATAGCAAACCAAAAAAGATGACAAGCGACGAAAAAATGAAAGCACATCAATCCAATTCATAAATAAGAGAGCATTGTTCATCAGTTCGCATCTTGGGGATGAGAAGAAAATAGTTGAATTTACCAGATTTGACATCTTCTTTGGTGAGAGGCCAAGATGAAGGGTTTGTCAAGTATGTCGTGCGAAAGAATCAAAACTCAGTGACATATGGAGGGGTCTGGATTGTTCTTGAAGGCTGTTCTTGACTGTTGGAGTCGATTGTGGCGGCAGTTGGCGTGAAAACACCGTCAATCGTGGTTTCAATCCTCATATCAACTCTGGTATCAGACGACCGCTGCATACCGCTCTGACCAGTAGGCTGCGGAGCGTAATTTTATCCCGCCGCGCTAATTCCACGATCCGCTACATGTATAATACTTAAGAGAAAGCGGCGGCGGGTTGCTTTGACCCGCTACCCCTGCCATTTCGAAGCGGCTGCGGGGCGACCCGCCCCGCGGCCGCTCCGCTTCCGCTTTTTGCGGCGGATCGCCTCAAGTGGCGGTTGCAGGGTGTGTCTGGACTACTAGATTGAACACACCAGGGGATGAGAGTCTGGTTTTTTGTTATCAGTGTTTGAGCTATACTCTATCAAACGGCTGGTAGTGGATCATCCTATTATTATCATTAATAAGGGTACTCAAAGTAAGTATGTACATGTACATACTTTTTGCTATATACTTTTTTTGGCGGGGAAGGCGAGGCCAAAAGTATATTTTTTTTCTTTGTCCCCGCCAAAAAAAGTATGTAGCGCTACATACTTTGCTTTGAGTACCCTTAATCATTAAAGTTAAAGGTAAACCGTGTTCGCCGGCAAAACCTGATTAAACTCCCAATCCCTCCTACCAATTTCCAGGTTTACACGCTCACAACGTTTAATCTGATTTCCACGTGCCTCACCCCAAATTTGCCCCATTCCTCTCATCAAATTAATTCTTCATCACCTACCAATCTTCACACTATCCTCACACTTGCCGCAAATCAGACCACTCGATCCAAGTAGTTATCTATCAAAACTTTCAACAGAACAAATCAGCTTCAACTTTAGATTCAAGCTCCAAAGAACTTCATTCAATCTCACTCAACTTGCCAAATTATCAAAACCAACTTCAAATAAAATCCGATACACTTCATGAGCAAGTTAAGTTATTGTACAATCTCACCCACCCATTTCACAGATAGTTAACTGATTTGATTTTTACTACTGTTTAGAAACGGTCAATCGGATGTGGTTCAAGTTTACCATATCCAATCTTTTGTTGAATTTCTAATGGAAAACAGGTCCATTCAGGTGAGTTCACCAAAAAATCAGGGATGGTTAAACTCAGCATTGGTTTTGATGTATGATTTTGATGATATACTTAAAAGAGCTACCAAGTTTGGCACTGAAAAACAAATCCTGACTGGAGATTGTCCTTTCAAATTCCATTCAATATCATCAATTTGATTTGATTCAGTTCTTTAATGCTTGCTGTAAAGACAGATTACAACCATGGGTTGTCACTCATGCAGAGCAAACGAATCCCAGAACACATCCGATGAAAACAAGCAAACGAATTCGAGAACACATCCAATGAAAACCAGAAAACCATCTTTTCCTGGAATTGATTTAATCTGAGCTTGAAGAGTTGATTCAATCTGATCAAAAATTAAAAAGATCAAAACAAAAAGTAGTAGCTATAGGAGAATGTGGTTTAGGTCATTGTTCAACAACACCATCAAGAGCTATCATTGTTGTTACTGATCATGTGCTTTTTTGCTTTGATTTTGGATAGATTATGATCGATTATCGTATTGATCAGATTACATTCAATTATTGTATTCTTTAAGACGTTCATCCTGATGCAATGAGAGGTGAAGGCAAACTCAGTACTACTTGATTCTCTGTTATGATTCGGCTAGGACTTGAAGCTCATCGACCTCAAAAGCTTAATCCCCACCTCTCTTGACTCTTGAACTTCTTTACAGTCATCTGTTTCATCCACTGTAATCACAAGACCACCATTACATTCAGAAGCGCCAAGTATTTGAGAGTTTTGTGCTTGAGTTGCCAAAGTGACTCGTGATGGTCACCGGATCCTTGTCCATTGCCTTGGTCAGTCTTTTACATATCTTTACTCTTCTTGACACCAGTACTTACACCACAACCTTTTGTCTTATTAGTACCAAGACAAGCCTGTTTGGGCTTTCTTATACCATCTACCACCAACGTATCCCGCGATCTGATGCTTATCTACATCTTCAACTCATTGCTACTCGTTCATTCTTCCTCTGCCTATCCGATCTTACTCTTTTACGATACTTTAAAAGACAATGTTCAACTTCGGATCCAGCTGTGAATCCAATTCCAAGAGATACACATTGATCAGAGGATGGGTTTGAAGGACACTTTCCTTCACATATCTTACCTTTTCTTTATCTCGATTGGAGTTTATTCAGCGTACTCAAGGAGAATATATAATGAAGGTGATGAATGGTCCACTAGAGTCAGAAGATCCATTATCAAAAATGCTACAGCGGGTTGGTTAGAAGAATGTAAGATTTTGTTTAATTGGATTGTGAGTGGATTGCTAAGGCTACAACCTCGATTTTATTCGATCTCAAGTTCACTTCAAACGGTCCCAACAAAGTTCATATTTGGCACCACTCCTCATTCCAGCTTATCTCCAGAACAACTTCTCAAGTAAAAGTAAGTCAAACTGATCAATAGGATTTCTTGAAAGATTCTCAATTGAGTTTACTGACTTCCTCTCTTATGTTTCTAGGATTTCTACACTTACAATTTGAAACAGGCTCAAACAATCAAAGCACGAAACAAACCAATCAACTCTTACATTGATCTGCGACTTTTGTATCAAATTCGATTTTAGATTGATTAGATCCTGTGGAGTCGAATTGATTTCTAAAATTTGGGTGATCAAGGTGAATCGATTGGATCATTGAATTGAGTTATCCAACATAACTTCTTCAAAATCTAAATCTAAATCAAGCCTCTCAAAATCAACGGAATTTGATATTGATTTTGAAATCTCTGCGTCTTTAGCTTTAGCTACTACTCTTAAACTGATTAGAGAATCGATCAGCACTGAATGGTCAAATGGTCATCAATATTTTACGTCTCTAGGTCTTTGAAAAATCAACAATTATGTATTTCATCTGAGTAGGTTCATGGCTTCTTTAGCTTTCATTAAAATGCATATCACTGTTATTGAAAAATTCAGTGACAGACCTTTGAATGATGAGGATCTCCCTACCATTGAAAAGATAGTTAGGATATTAATTGATGGATTCCATTCAAATTGTCCAGATGCTTTAGGATTTACTGTTGAAGGATTGACTTTAGTTAGTGAAAAAGGATTTATTAGAAAACTTTTAATTTTGAATCAAGATTGTAGGTTGAAGAGGTTTCATGAAGCAATTTCTCAAGAAGCTACATATCAAAATCAAGATGGTTAAATTAAAGTGGATACTTCAATTGCTTATGGAATTTCAACAATCACAAAAAACTTATTATTGGTTAAGGAAATTCAATCAGAAGAAGATCAAGTCACTGGAATATTACGTAAATTAGCAACTCATCAGAACCAACCTAAACAAAACAAAATAGAAGAAATTGATCAAGATGATTTTATTGTAATAGAAGATGAAGTTTATTGGATCTCTAATTTGATCTTTAAAAATCATGTCTTAGTGGGATTAGTGGGAAAATCGAGTAAATCTGAATGTCACATAGTTTGTAGATTGACTGGTAAGATTTCATTAAATTTGATTCAAATACCTTGACCAAGACTGATAATCAAGACAGCTGAAATGGTTCAGGTCAATTCATTCTTTGTAGGAGAGGATGATGTTTGCACATACATGAGTTGTAAAGCACAAGAGCAGTCTTAGTCACATCAAAGAAAAAAATGAAGATCTGTTTTTTTTCAATTACTATCAATTTACTTTGCTTGTATTAGTCTTAAGTGTGAACAACATAGGGGTTGGGTTTCAAAATGCAAAAGTGTGACATGACTTGGTGAGAACACAGTGTCCCTGAGGGGGGTTGAGTTGGTACAAATGTTACAGTAAATGGGAGTCCATGAGACACAAATTCAAAAATTTAGAGTCCATGTCTGAGGATCAAGGAGTGGTCAGAGGAGATGTTATCACATAGGAGACAAAGCAAATGTATGAAAGGTAATTATGTGGCTACTGCTTTAAGGGCTGAAAGATTAGTCATGCAAGCTGACCATGTATGGCCTCTGTGAGAAAACAACAATTACTAGCTTGATGCTACAAAACAGAACCTTTGAAAAGGTTGGACAAAAATACTAAGCTACGTGTTGACAAGACATGGCTGAGAAGGCTACGAGTTCTGAACTTGAGACTGACCTGAACAACAGGTGAGGAAGATTCAAAAGAAAAAGCTTTAGAATAATTTTCCTCGATGATGATGAGAGATCAAAAATCACACGCATAACAACTACTAACCTTTGAAAAGGTTGGACAAAAATACTGCTACGTGTTGACAAGACACGGCTGAGAAGGCTACGAGTTCTAAACTCAAGACTGGCCTGAACAGCAGGTGAGGAAGATTCAAAAGAAAAAGCTAGGAATAAATAGAGAGAGAAAATGAAAGAAAAACCACAGAACTGATAGGTGAAGAGGTTTATCAGTGAGGGTTGTATAAAATGACTGAGAAAACTTGAGTGCTACTAGAATCTCACCTTTAGAATAATTTTCCTCAATGAGGGAAAAAGATTCTGAAGGCAAACAGAGCAGGGTATTAGTGAGAGAAACAAAAAACAACAAAAAGACAAAGCACAGCTACAAAGCACTACAACAAATAGACTATCCCTTAATCACATCCAGAAGCGGAACCATCTTCTAATACCATGTTCACTACATCCACAAGTCCACCTTTCATTTAATTCTTTTACCAATCCGTCCAGAAGAACATAATGTGCTCAATAGTTTTGAAACACTTTTCATGGAAGAGTTCTTCTGAACTACACTACACTGCAGACATTATTCGGGTTCCCCAAGTGGGCAGGGAAAAATGATTGGGAGTATGATTTGTCATAAAATGGTCTATCACTCCACACCTGAGCCATAACACCCACACTACATATGTGTAGCAGGCTCAGTGAATATGTGGTTATCATGTACATACAGTTCTGCTCAGTTATCTGCTCATCAGGACAAGTTATTCATATGTAATACATGCTGTAACTTCTTTCAGATTGAAAAAAGCTTCCAAAAGATTGACTACATACACTGACTCAATGTTTTGGTGTGATCTCATCAACTCAACTGCATGTAACACACTTTCTGTTACTAAGACATAGCTTCAACAATATTGCCTGAGCAGCTACAGAATTATATGTAGTGAATTTTTGGGAAAAAAATTTCAAAGTCGAAAAAGTTACATGTGGTATAACATGTGATTTATTTATTCTGATGGGCAAAAAACTGAGCAGACCTGTATGTACATGATAGACAACTATTGACTTAGCTTGCTGCACATATGTAGTGTGGGTGAAATGGCCCAGGTGTGCAGTATTAGATTCTTTTATGAAAAACTGTACTATTAATCATTTTCCTCTGCCAAATTGGGGAAGTTGAATGATGTTTACAGTGCTACACACTCTTCCTGACCAAAAAGCTCCAACAGCATCTGTGTGGTTTGTTGCAATGTACTGAAGATCAGGAAGTGTTTGAGTGGTAGAGCAAGAGCTGTGCGGCGCCCGCCGCTGATTGGGCTAGTAGCATTTATATAAATTTATCATTTACATGCTTTGATTTTTTTCCTAGTGTACAACTCATATCTTGTCTTGATCATCATCACTATTCTTATGTAATACACATTTTTCTGGGACTTATCATAAGTGTGAATCTGGGGACTTAATTTTTCTGAAAAGAGAGAATATATGTGAAGTTCAGAAAAGGTTCACAAGATAATGTGAACCTCAGATGAGATTCACAAAAAAATATGAGCTCAGATTTTCTGTGATGCTCAAATATTCGCGGCCTTTTCTTGAATAATGGGGAAAGTTTTTTAAGATACGGTGCTGTAAAAACTTTTCCCAATGTGTAAAAAGGACCGTAAAAATTTCTTTCAGATCTCCTTCTGAGCAGTAAAGTTACGCAAATTTAACCTTACGCAAATTTGCGTAAATTTACTGCTCATAAAAAGGTTCATTAGGGGGTTTCAAGTTTGATTTTTTTTTGCGTAATTTTTAACAAATCGGGCAAGTTTTTCGCAAAAATAATCTACGTAAAACCAACGTATCCTCAAATCGGGACACCTAAAAAGGTGTCCCGCTTAAAAAAAAATATGCATATTTTACAACAACGGGCAAGTTGTTGTAGCGTAAAAATACGTAAAAAAAGTCAACTTGAAACCCCCTATTGATTTCAATAAATTTACTGCTCATAAAAATTTGGGATGTTGTATGGCTTTTCCCAATTAAGGGGTTTCAGGTTTAATTTTTTTATATGACTTTTTAAAAATTCAGTAAAGTTTTATACGACACCGCCCAACTTTAAATTTGACCGTTTGTAAAAATCAAGCACTTTGACCAATTACGGTCGTAAAGATAATGGAAGCCGTGAACGTATTGTTCTAAGAGTTAGCGACATTCCCTTGGAAGATAATGACAAGACGGTCTTCTTGACCAATCTCCTGCTTGACAACGCGCACAATACCATGATTGAAAAGGTCAATAGATTGACCGAATGGTTTTTAGAAGCGTAATTTTACGCTAATTTTAAAACGGGAGACGTAAAAAGGTCTCCCGTTTTAAAAATTTTTACGTAAAATTTATAACATTGTCCAAGTTTTTAAAACGTAAAGATACGCAAAAACTCAAACTTGAAACCCCTTATTGCATAAAATTTTGCGTAAATATTATGAAATTGGGAAAAGTGTTTTACAGGAGAAGTAGTAAAAAGATTTGACCTGAGCCTCCCTAATTTTTTGAAAATTACGCAAAAGAAACTTGAAACACCCTAATGTAAACCTCCCAAGAAATAGCAAAAAGCAATAGAAATCTGAGGACTTGATTTGTTCAGATAACAACTAATAAATGTGAACTTCACAAAAAGGTTCACAATGAAATGTGAATTTCGAATGAAGTTCACAAAAAAATGTGAATTTTGAATGAAGTTCACAAAAAGATGTGAACTTCGGAAAAGGTTCACAAGAAAATGTGAACCTTGGATGAAGTTCACAAAACAAATGTGAACTTTGGATGGAGTTCACAAAAAAATGTGAAATTTGGATGAAGTTCAAATGTGATTGTAAACTTCCATTTTGAACTGTTTATGGGGCTTACATTCTTTTGTGCACTTTGAAAAAAGTTCACAATTAAATATGTACTTTATCAAAGTTTTGTTTAATCCTTTTTAAAAAGGTTCATTGATTTCAATAAAACACACCTAAAGTTCACATTTCATTGTGAACTTTTTATGAAGTTCACATTCTTTATTTGTATATGACCACATCATGTCCTCAGATTTCTATTGCTTTCTGCCATCTCTTGGGTGGTTTACAATGGTTGAAAGTTGGCTTTTTTATGTAGTTAGACGCTACAACAATTTGTGGTATACATAAAATATGCGTAATTTATTGAAATCAATGAACCTTTTTAAAAAGCCTACATCAATTTGGGTTATACATAATATATGCGTAATTTATTGAAATCCATACACCTCTTGAAAAATGTGAGCAAAATTGTGATTAAGTTCACATTCTATTGTGAATCTTTCCTGAAGTTTACATATTTATGTAAACTGCATTTATACTTCACATTGTATTGTCAAATTGTGGTGAAGTTCACATTTCATTGTGAACTTCATCTGAAGTTTACATATTCTTATATTTTTGTGAACTTTTCTACAGTTCAAATATTTTTGTGAACTTCTTCTGAAGTTCACATGTTATTGTGAACTTTTCTACACTTCAAATATTTTTGTGAACTTCTTCGTAAGATATCTTCTATTACCAGTAGTGGTATGACATTCAGTAGCATTCCACCCAACCTCTGAAAGAAACACGAATTGCAAATGAGTAGGGACCTACAACAACTTGTGTTATACATGAAATATGTGTAATCTATTGGAATCAATACATATTTTTGAAAATGTAAACAAAATTTCAATGAAGGTCACTTTTAATTGTGAACTTCATGCAAAGTTCACAGAAAATTGGAGTTCACATTTTTTTGTGAACTTCATTATTTGTATATGACCAAATCATGTCCTCAGATTTCTATTGCTTTCTGCCATCTCTTGGGTGGTTTACAATGGTTGAAAGTTGGCTTTTTTACGTAGTTAGACGCTACAACAATATGTGGTATACATAAAATATGTGTGTTTTATTGAAATCAATGAACCTTTTAAAAAACCTACATCAATTTGGGTTATACATAATATATGCGTAATTTATTGAAATCCATACACCTCTTGAAAAATGTGAGCAAAATTGTGATTAAGTTCACATTCTATTGTGAACCTTTCCTGAAGTTCACATATTTATGTAAACTGCATTTATACCTCACATTGTATTGTCAAATTGTGGTGAAGTTCACATTTAATTGTGAACTTCATCTGAAGTTCACATATTTTTGTGAACTTCATCTAAAGTTCACATATTTTTGTGAACTTCATCTAAAGTTCACATATGTTTGTGAACTTCATCTAAAGTTCACATATTTCTGTGAACTTCATCTCATTTCATTTGAAGTTCACATTTTATTGTGAACTTTTCTACAGTTCAAATATTTTTGTGAACTTCTTCTGAAGTTCACATGTTATTGTGAACTTTTCTACAGTTCAAATATTTTTGTGAACTTCTTCTGGAGTTCACATCATATTGTGAACTTGTCTACAGTTCAAATATTTTTGTGAACTTCAGCTGAAGTTCACATCATATTGTGAACTTCATCTGAGGTTCACTCATTTTTGTGAACTTCATCTGAAGTTCACATCTTATTGTGAACTTCACATACTTTTGTGAACTTCATC